AACAGAGGAGAGGATCCCATCCACGAATTCATCCAACACACGCGTCTCGGGGCCTCCTCTATGTCAGGAGCTGGCTGAGCGACCCAACCCTGGAGGTGACCACACCAGGCGAAGCAGACAGTAAGCAAGTCAGCTGATGAGCTGAGGATTTCGTGGGGAACGCTAAGCCACCAGCCTGGAGAAACTAAAGGGGGGGAAGGGGGTGGGGAGCGGCGGGAGGGGGCACCGGGCTGAGGTTTAAGTAGACGGCGGGCGGCGGGAGGGAGACCACAGGGGAAGGCGGCTTTGCGCAGAGCCCCAAGCGGTGGCCAGTGCCCAGGGAGGGGGGAGGGCAGGGGGAGAGGGTGGGGAGGGGGCGGGAGCACGGAGGGAGGGAGGGGGGACGGGAGGGGTGGGCGGGGGTGATGGGGAGGGAGGGGGAGGGCGGCAGTGGGGAGGGGCCGGGCGGGGGTGGGCCGTGCAAGGGCCTCGAGGGAGGGGAAGGGACAGGAGGGTGGGGAAGGGGTGGGGAGGGGGGGCACGGGAGAGAGGGAGAGGACGGAGGAGGGGGGAGGGGAGGGGGAGGGGGGGAGAGAGGGGGGAGAGAGGGGGGCGGGGCGAGGGGGAAGGAGTGGGGAGGGGGCGGGGCACAGGAAGGAGGGGACAGGAGGGTGGGCAGGGGAGATGGGGGAGGGGGAGGGTGGGCACGGGAGGGAGGGGTGGGGGGAGGATGGGAGGGTGGGCTAGGGAGGGCGAGGGGGAGGGGGAGGGGTGGGGAGGGGGCGGGGGGGCACAGGAGGGGCGGGCGGGGGCGATGGGGGAAGGCGAGAGGGAGGGAGGGGCGGGCCTGGAGGTGAGCGCCCCCTCCGCACCTTCCAGCACCTTCCAGCACCTTCCAGCAGGCGGGGGACGGGACAGCGACGGGAGGAACCGGGGCGGCGGATGATGAGAGGCCCCGGTAGGGCATCCTTTAATCCCCGACCGAGTCCGCCTTCCCGCGCATTCCTACGCTCCAGAAGCGGCGCCCGGGGGAGGCCGGGGGAGGCCGGGGAAACCAACACACACAAAACAAACAAGCAGACGCCGCTGGAGGTGACTCCAGCAGATTCTCAGTAAGTAAGTTGGGGGCCTCCTGCCCCGCTCGGCCCACTGGACGGCACCTCGGCCGCTGCCCGGAATGCTCCCCTCTCGCAGGGTCTTTTAACCCGAGGGTCTGTCAAACCCCGACACAAAGCGCCGCACGAGGAACACGGAGGGGAGGGCCTATAACGGGGGTCTTGGTCTTGCACGCTACCCCCCGCGCCGCCGCCCGTCCGCCGCGGACCCGAACCCGGAGAGCTCGGGGCCCCGCCCACCCGGGCGTCCCGGACCGCGCCCCCGCGCCCCCGCGCCCCCGCGCCCAGAACAGCTTCCCCAGAGGCCTGGGCTTTCCTCCCTTGCTCCCCCCCCTCCCCCCCGCCCCCGCCCCCGCCCCACAGCGGAACCCTAAAGCATCTGAGTGCAGAGCCCTGCAGTTCATCAAGATCAAGGCAGGCGTCAGGTTTCAAGTTGAGGTTCCCAACAGCTTGCTCTGCGGAGACTTCTTACCTCCTGAAATCACACGGCGCCTTTTAGGACCTCAGGGTGCTGAGTCACGGCTGGCTGCACACTCACTCTTTCATTCAAGGCCACCAGGCCGGACCCCATCTTCCTCCCTGGTATAAAGTGAACACAGGGTCCCCTCCCCCCCCCACATGCCCCTTCAGAAGTGGTTCCTGTGAAGTGACCAGACTTAGAACAAACAAGAAGAGTGATTTTACCTTCCCTCTCCTTGAGGAAATTTGACAACTCAGAAGTAAGAAACACTCTGCCCCCTTCCTTATCTTTACATGATTCCTACATTGGTGGGTGTTGATCCATTAAGCAAATTCATAGGCCATGATGGCAAAGATACTAGAACATTCTAGCCCTCGGGGAGCCATGCAGATTAGAGCCCTACAACCTGAGAGATGGCTGTTGCCCCCTGGCCCAGCCTTTCTTACCTGCAGACAGGCTTTGGTGAGTCAGTATGAGCCTAAAAATCTAAAATGGGACATGTTCTCGAAAGCTTGAAAGACCTGGCAACACTGCACCAAAACTCCAGCGTAGAAAAACTGGCGTAGCCCTTCAGAGAGAAGGTGCTGGGAGCACGTGTTCCCTGGGTCAGCACCCACCAAGCTGATGCCCCTGCATCCTTCCCCACTAAAAGCCGTCCCCGTGTGTATGTGCCCAGGACCTCCACCGAGTCCAACCACCTTATCTGACAAATGAGGAAAGCAGGGTCCAGAGAATTTTAAATTTTAAATTCAAAGGTCACTGGATTAGGTAAAAGCAGAGCAAGAATTTAGGTCCTGTTTCCAAGACGCCCCCACCCCCCAGAGCTCTGGGTGTCAAAGAAATTGGGCCACATTTGAAGCAGTGTCTCAGATGATATTAGCTCTGAAGTTATTTTAATTATAAATCATCACTGGAAACTAATGAAGGCATCAAAGCTGTGATACGGGTATAGACCAGAAGGGCTGGGGAAAAGTATAACTAGGAGATAGAACATTTCCTGGGGGATTTTAAATATAAGTAATCTATATTTAAAATATCATGATTTTAGCGAGTAACAGAGCAAGGGGAAAAAACTGAATAAAAATCACATCCTAATTTAACTATACTGAATAAATTAAAAATGACACTTCTTCGATTTTTGTAAAGTGTTTTTTAATGCAAGAATTTTTGCCCATCTATGTATGGTTCATGTCATTAATTCATGGTAATACATAGAATGAAAATACGTGAGCATTATTGAGACCTTTCAAGATTCTTTGTGATGAATGGTATTATTTACCTCATAAGGGAGATTTATGGGCCATATAAAAAATTTTGTTTACAGGAGTAGAATTATTATAAATGCATGTATAGTATAAAAGTGTGCTGGTGCTGGACGCCTGGGTGGCTTAGTGGTTGGGCATCTGCCTTTGGCTCAGGGCGTGATCCCGAGGTCCTGGGATCGAGTCCCACATCGGGCTCCCTGTGAGAAGCCTGCTTCTCCTTCTGCCTGTATCTCTGCCTCTCTCTGTGTCTCTCATGAATAAATAAAATCTTTAATAAAAAAAAAAAGTGGGGATACCCAGGTGGCTTAATGGTTTAGCACCTGCCTTCCGCCCAGGGCATGATCCTGGAATCCCAGGATCGAGTCCCACGTCGGGCTCCCTACATGGAGCTTGCTTCTTCCTCTGCCTGTGTCTCTGCCTCTCTCTCTCTCTCTCTCTCTGTGTCTCTCATGAATAAATAAAATCTTAAAAAAAAAAAAGTATGCTGGTGCTAATGACCCTGATGTTCTTTTACTTACTGCATCAATTCAGAATAGAAATGAGTCTTCCTACATTCATTTTTCTACATACCACTGGCTTATCATTATAATTCCACCCTGGTTCCCAGGAAGATCCCATTCCACCTGCACCATATGCAGAAACCTGTCACCTTGAAAGGGTTTAAAAAGAAACTGAAATTTTTCTATGGAAGATTATGTAATCTTGAAAATGACCCCCCCCCCCAACTCCTCCTCCAAACAAAAAAAAAATTACTAGCCAGATTAAGATCCAGGGATCATTGATGTGCAAGTGGATCCTGCCACGTGTCTCACAGTTCCACAGCGCTTGCAGCAGGGCCAGCAACATGACAGGCCTTACTTCTTACATTAGGAACCGTCTACGCCTAGGTACGAGTAAGAGAACCTAAGGCAGTCTGAGCACAATGCTGTTCAGTAAAGCTTTAATGCCACTTGAAATCACGGTTGCTAAAATTAAACTGACACTTGGCAGAAATTACCATAACACTTTCCATCACAGCATTATGACAGGCAGAAAGTGTCTGCGTGGCACAGGCAGTGCTAAGAACAGAGCTGCGCATCCCAAGAGGGACCAAAGCGTGAGGCCACGTAGAGAAAAGTTTGAGTGGGAGCTCGAGTTTGAGACCCACAATCACAAAAATGCTGCAGCTTCCATTCCCTTCAGAGAGACCCAGAAGCCGCCTCTCAAGTTCAAAGTCCAAACTTCTTTCTGCCTTCCTGTCTCTTGTTTTATAATCAGAGCAGGGAGGAGGAGCTCAGCGGTTGGGCAAAGGAAAGGCAGGCTCTCTTTTGTCATCTGCCAGAGAAGGATTTCTCCCTCTCCTCGCCATCAACCTCAGGACCAAGGCAAACGTCTTCCAGGTCAGGAGACAGCACCCCTTAACTGGCAGGACTACTTTTAAGGCAATGGGACGGCACCGCTCTGCCCTTGGGGCCCAGGGGACTGCCTCTGTTCTGGCATCGTTTTGTTCTAACCTAAAGCATTTGTCAGCTTCCTCACTCCACAGCTCAGGAGTCAACAGCAACTAAAGGGTTAAGCAAATTCCTTGAAACAAGGCAAGGAAAGACTCCTGGAGCTGTGCAGGTGCAGAATTACAGCCTGCCACTGCTCATCATGCCGAGATCCTGAGCCCCTGCATGGGTTTCAGAGACAGCAATGCTTGGCTTTTCTTGTTTTGCAATAAAAGAGAGAGAAAGAAATAAAAGGAAAAGAAAAGAAGGAAAGAGGGAGAGAAAGAAAATGAAATAAATTTTCTGTTCTCTCAGCACAGAGCTATGCACAGAGTAGATGCTCTCAGAGAAAGAAAATTGTTGAGTGGTCAACATGGTTTTAAAAGATTTCATCAGGGTTCTTTCCCCCTCTGCGGATCCCACTGTGACTTGAGGTTTCCTAGGCCCCAGATGGCCAGGCCAGCGTGGGGCAGATCACCTGACCTAACAGTCAAAGGGCTGCGTCTCCTAGTGGGAGTCAGGCCACAGCTCTGCGCTGTAATGGAGTCACCTTATTCAATAGTAAATGCACACAGTTTAGGATTCCCAAAATAATGAAGTTATTAAACACAAGAAAACTGGTGACCAGGTAAAAGGAAAATGAGAAGAAAAATTTATCTCTTCTGAACCAAGAAAGGTAAAGGCCAAGGCATGTAAGACATAGGCAGCAGAATAGTTTGTTCTTCCTTTTTTATTTAGTCACAACACATCAGTATAACAGAGGTCAAACCCAGTTCAGTGGAGGTCATTTAAATTACACCTGCTAAAAGAATAAACCTGTAAAATGATGCTTTGATAGCCTGAACCAAATTAAACCAAAAGAAGGCAGCAAAGCCCTTCTGAATATCTCAACAACCACGTTTCCATGCACCAGAGAGGAAAATACAACATAAAAATTTCCAATTAAAAGAGAAAACCTAGCGGTTCTGGGAAGAAGTAGGTTATGCATTTAACAGGTTCCACTGGACTATTCCATTGACGGCTTGCACCCCGCGATCACTTATCCGTGTTAACACTTGTGAATTTGAGATCCGTGAGATTGAAAATTCATTGCATTGCTTGGGGCTGGGAAATGCAGGCATATTCTATGCAATTACCTTTAGTCTCCTCCCCACCAACTCCAAATGGGGATCTAACCTACAAGTGGCTCTCTCCTAAGCCAGGACTGCCAAATCCTGGCAGATGACAGCAGGGCCCCTGATGATTTATACACTCACCTGACTGCTGCAGGAGGCAGAGAGAATTAATTCGGTCTTCTTTCTTGGGTAAAGCTGATCATCTGATTTGTCAACGCTTTGTTCAGAAATATAAAATTCAACATAGATTCCCCACCCCACCCCGGCAGAAGAATATTATTTATACAACATCTTAATTGTCGAAATATTAACAAATAGCATCATGTTAACATTGAACTTAGTGGTTTGGAAAATTAATTCTAAAAACAGACTTCAACTATACAAGAGGAAAAACAGACCAAAATATGAAATGTTAAAATCCCCAAAACTTTGAGGCAAAAAAAAAAAAAAAAAAAAAAAAAAAAAACGGGATCATTCTTAGAGAGGTTTACAAAGTAATTAGCCATAGAACAAATCTATTACCAAGTGTTGGTTTATACTCACTATTTCAATGTAATGTTTGGAACAAAATTTAACAACTAGCTTTTAAAAACTGCTAAGACGTGACCTGATTTTAAAAAAGAAAAAAAAACACATTAAAAAAGAAAAAGTAAACCAACAAACCTTTAGTCTTTCAACAAAATTGATCTGAACGTGTACCTTTTCTCCTCTTTACTTTTACTGAGGACTTTAAGGTGATGTTGGCCACAGCCCAGCTCAGCTGGGCCTTTAGGTGTTCCCCTCCCTCCATCCTACAGCGTCGGGTCTTTAAAAAGCTCCAATCTCCGTCCCCCAGGGTCTATAGGGCTTGCCAAGGTTTGCGGCCTGCGTGGGTGCCGAAGGGCTCAGTGCATTGGGAGACAGGAGGTGAAAGGAGCCGAAGGAGAAGGGGAAGGCCGACAGGGAAGCCACCGAGGACAGCAGGGGCGGCGAGAGTTTGGAGGCCGAGGTGACCACGGGGAGCACCGGTCCGAGGCCGCCGCTAGGGGGCGCGCGCAAGGCGGGCGCCTCCGGATGCGCCGCAGCCAACCTGCCCTGGTGGTGCGGTTCCGTGGGCGAGGCGCTGGTGCCAGTGTTCCCGTGGCCGCTCTGGGGCAGCAGCAGGGGGTGCGCGACGTGCGGGTGGTGTCCGAAGGCGCTGCCCCAGGGGAGGTGTCCCAGGCCTGCGTGGGCGCCGCTGGCCGCTTCCCGCTGGGAGGCGTAGTTGTTAAGGTGGGAGACCAGCCGAACTCGAAGCGGGTCGGAGGCATCCAGACCCTCGATGATGCTCAGATAACGGGCCACCTCCGCCAGGCACTCCCGGAACCCCAAACTCCGATAGTCCATAGCAAGGGCGTGCGCGTCGAAATAGCCTGAGCCGAAGAACAAAAGGGAAAAAAAAAAAAAAAAAAGCTCAAGGCTTTGCTCACTTCCCGCACTCCTTCCACGCCAAAGGCGGCCCTTCCCAGCAGAGAAATGCCCACAGCCCTACAAACGGCACCCGACGGGTCCCCATGCAGGTCCTGGTATTTGGGGGCCGACCAAAGCCTCTGCATTAATGGACAGGAGACGTATGTCTTTGCTAATGCAAGTTCAAAGCACAATTAGAAGCTGCTGAGCAGAAAGTGGAATTATACCCTACCAGCAGATGAAACTGCGTTCATCCCTTTAATGTTTTCCCCCAACAACAACAAAAAAATACATCAAGGACAGAGAAACCACAGAGCAGTGAAATTCATTAGACACACAGATGTAAGTTATCATCATGCAGCTTTTAGGCACTTGGTCCTGAGTAAAGCATTTTCCGGCTGGAGACAGACACACAGACCCCGGTCTCCCACCTTCTGTTAGGGCTCCTCTAATTAACCACAACAGGTTTCTTTACTCAAGAGTCACGTGGGAGCTTTTTTTTTTTTTTAATCCTGTCGATAAAATTAAGACCATCTACTTTTTTTTTTTTTTTCTAAAGGCTTTTTCTCCAAACGTCAATAAGCAAATGTGGTGAGAGCTACCTGGATTTGATCAGGACTCTCACAACTTCAGGGCACCTAATACGTAAAAGGTCTTCTCCAAAAGAAGGTGCGTTAGCTTAGTCCGGAGACGACTGGGGTGATGAAGTCACTGGGGAAAACCCTCTGTGCATTTGAAAACGGACTGACAGGCAACTGTACGCACCGCACATTCTCTCCCCACCCCCAAAGCACACAGCAAAAAAAAAAAAAAAAAAAAAAAAAAAAGGCAGTGACTGCACCAATGCTGGCCTCGGGCAGCTGCTCATTCCACCCGGAGCACTCAGGGCCACCACTGGACGACGAGCTGTACCTTTTCCTCCTGCCGTGTGCAGCATTTTCAGGTGATCCACGGTCATCTGCAGGATTTCGGCTTTTTCTAGCTTAGCAGATCCCTAGAGAAGAGAACAGCAAATAATGATAACGATAATAAAAAGAAAAGGACTGGGCACCAGGAACTGCCTAAAACGGATATGCGGGTACAGGCTTTGCAAATCATAAAAGTCCGAGCTAACGCAAAACGCGCTGCCTTCGCGAAAGATGTTGGAATCCGCGTTATGATTCATCTCCGGCACCAGCAATACGGTTATTTTTCGAGGCACGGAGGAGGTTCAGATTAATGCGGGGAAGGATCCCGAAGGTGTGGGCAGCTACCCTGAGAGCTCTCCCCACTTTCTCCAATTACCTGCTTCTCAAAAGCACTGGGTACCAGCCGCCTGAGCTCAGACAAACTGTTATTAATCCGGTCCCGTCGGCGCTTCTCAATGATCTGTGGCAAGCAGGCAAAACAAAGGAGGAGATTTCCATCAAGGCTGTAAATTTCAAAATGAGGCAAGGTAGTTCTTCCCATTAATTAATGACAAAAAAAAAAAAAAAAAAAAAAAACCAAGAAGCACTGTAAAGAGACTCACGCCTCTTCGTCTTTTCCTGGCCAAGATCTGTGAAGATGTAGTTGGGGACATGGAACCTAGAGCCGAACTCAAGTTTCTGAATGAGGAGGGGGGAGGGGGGATAAAAAAAAAAAAAGAACAAGAATCGCTGTTAAGCGAGAGGAGGTGATAGGAGGGGTGCCCCCCCACGCCCTCCGCGCACTCAGGCTGTTTTGGCAACTTGGGGCCGAAAGCGCGTCGGGGGTGCCTCGGCCCGGGCGGTGGCGCCCCCGCCCCGGGATGCGCAGAGGTCAGCGGAGGGCACCGGCGCGCCCCGCGCCCGGCCCGCGGCCACCGCGGCCGCCCGGGGGCCGCCGACTCACCCATTCTCGTCCGCGCTCTCCTTCTCCACTTCGACGGTCTCGTCCAGCTCGCTGTCCGAGGAGCTGTAGTCCGGGTGGGCTCGCTTCATGCTGGCTGCGCGGCCGGGGCTCCGCGGCCGGGGCTCCGCGGGCGGGGCGGGGCGGCGCGGCGCGGCGCGGCGGGCCGGGGGGCTCTCAGCGGCGGCGCCTCTCGCGCTCGGGGGCTGGCGTCCCGCGCACACTGCTCCCGCTCCCGCTCTGCCTCCGGTTAAAATTCAACCATCCCTTTCCCACGCTGCGCCCCTACTCAGGTCCCCGGGGGGAGGGCGGGCGGGCGGGGCGGAGGAGGCGGGCGAGGGGGCGGGGGGGCGGGGCGGCGGCGGCTCCGGGGCAACGGCCTCCCCTCCGCCAACCCGGCTTCCCGCTCCGCTGATTGGCAGCCGCCGCGGGGCGGGCCCGGAGCGCGGCCCCCCGGAGCCCCGCCCCCGCCCCCGCCCCCGCCCCCGCCCCGCGCGCCGGCCCCTGCCCGGCGGCGGTGCGTCGGCTCCGCGGGGGCTCCGCGGGGGCTCGGCCGGGGCTCCGCGGGCGGGGCGGGGCGGGGCGGGGCGGGGCGGGCGGCTGTGGGCCGGCGGCGGGCAGGCGGGGGAGGCCGGGCCGGGCCCCGCGCCCGCCGCCCGCCGCGGCCCCGCCCCGCCCCGCGCGCCCCGATTGGCCTGGCCGCGCGCCAGGGCCGCGCCTGCAGCGCCGCCGGTGAGCCGCACGCGCCGCGGGCCGTGGGAAAGTGCCGGCGCCGCGGCCGCCAGCCAATCCGGGCGGCCGGCGGCGGCGACGGCGGGCGCGCTGGCGGCGGCGGCGGCGGCGCTGGGCGTCCGCATGAATGGAGAAGAATGGGCGGGCGGGGCGGCGGGGGCTGGGCGGCCGCGGGCCGGGCCCCCCGGGCGAACCTGTAATCGGAGCCCGGGCGCCGGGCGGGAAGGCTCGGCTGCGGGGCCGCCTGTGCCCGGCGGCGGGAGGCGCGCGGCTGGCGGGGCCGGGCCCGGCGCACCTGGCGGGGGCGGGGGCGGGGGCGCCGGCCCCGGGGGGCCCCTGCGCACGCGGCCCCTGGGACGGCCCTCGTGGTCTGGAGGGGCCCCCGTCCCCGTCCCCCGGCAGCCAGTCTCGCCTCCGCAGGGCTTCCCACCTCCGGCGGGGACCGAGTGCCCCGTGCATCTAATTTCCGGGCGAGTGGAACGCTTGTTTTCTCGGCCGACGAGGTGGAGAAGGAAAAAAAAAAAAAAAAAAAAAAGACCCCTGGGGATATCCATTATGGGGTTTTTGTTTTGTTTTGTTTTTTGTTTCCAGGCCTTGGCGGCCAGATCCTCTCAGCGGGCGACAGGGTGGCGGGGCCGGGCCGCTGCGTCCCAGGGCCGCCCTCGCTGCGGGAATGCACGTCTCTGGGCCTTGCACACACGCGCGCACACGCGCGCACACGGCACAGCCCTGGCTTGGTTCTCGGCGCGTCCTGGCAGCTCCGCGAAGTTACCCCAGTCCTCCAGGAGATACGGGGGGGCGGGGAGGTGGTTGGGTCTCCCTGGCTTGCTGCCCTCTTGGAGGATTTGTAGGAGCAGCAGCCGGATGGGTGTTTTGAATTTGGAAATCCAGGATTCTCTGTCCCTTACAAAGGAGCAGAGCACTTGGTATTCCTCTCGGGTCCCTCCTTTGGCTGCTGACCTTGCAGTCCTGTCAGTGAGGGAGCCCTTGATAGATATTGAGGATAACAAAATTGTCCTCACTTTAGCAAACTGCGGCCTCTGTGTCTGTCCCCCCCCCCATTAGTCTTAACGCACTTCTGACGCCACACCCTCTGAATGGCCTGAGCCTGGTATGTAGGTTCCTTCGATTTTAACCCCTCGCCTCCACACACGCACTATCCCACCTCCTGGCTCCCACTGAACTCTCACACTTCACTTCACCTTCACCTCCAGCCCCTCAGCCCTTCCTTCTGGCCTCCTCTGCTTCCTTGTCTAGGCTGAGGCCCTCCCTCAAGCCAGGTTGGATTTTTTTTTTCTTTCTGGCACACCAGATGCCTTTGCTCCCTGTTTGTCCCCCTCGTGTCAGTTGTCCACCCACCATCAATCCCATTATCTGTTTACTCTGCCCCTACTCACAGGTAACAGCTCTTTGGGGTGGTAGAGGTTCGGCCTCCCAAGCTCCTTTCCAACCCCCACAGTCTTCAAACACTTCACTCACTGCCACCTGCCTCTTCCTGGGTTCCCAGAACCTAATAGTCCAGACATAGGAGACCCTCCCCTCACTTCCTTCTGCATTCCAGAAGTCCCTCTGACAGTCAGTTTCTTCCCCCAAGGTGACAGGCCACCTAACCCCAGAAATTAGTGTGTCCACTCACCCTCTGTGATTCTGTGCTCCCCAGCCTTGAACCTACAGTGAGTGAGCCTCTCCTGCTCTGGCCCATCCCTGCTGCCTCGCAGGGGCATGGCCCAGCTGCAGATAGGTGGGTGAGAAGAAGACACAAAGTTGGGGTTAAGGACTCCCGACTCCACAGTACCTAAGCAAACTATTTCTTCCACATTCAGTATGACTTTTCTGTCAAAAATGAGATCTACACTACAGTGTTACATTTCTCCTGCTTCTCAGTCTTGACTCCCATCCATCCATCCATCCATCCATCCATCCATTCATCCATCCATCCAACACCCAAGTGTCTTCGGTGTGCCTGGCCCTGTGCTAGGGCCTGAGGTTGCAGCGTTGACCCAAAAGTAGTATGGCCCCTGCTCTCCTAGAACTCGCATCTTGGCAGGGGAGCTAGACAAGGCACAGGTAAAATCACTATAGAGGGCAGCCCAGGTGGCTCAGCGGTTTAGCACCGCCTTCAGCCCAGGGCCTGATCCTGGAGACCCCGGATCAAGTCCCACATCAGGCTCCCTGCATGGAGCCTGCTTCTCCCTCTGCCTGTGCCTCTGCCTCTCTCTCTGTGTGTGTCTCTCATGAATAAATAAATAAAATCTTAAAAAAATAAAATCACTATAGATGTGTTAAAGCTTGGAAGTACCTTTTGCTAGGGAAAAACAAGGATACTTCATGAGGTCTGGGGAGGACTTTTCTGAGCTTGGGAAGGCACTTCAGAACGAGGTGGCTCAGTTAGAGCCACAGAACAAAGGGCTGAGGCCCTGCTATGGGCCTCCTAGAATCAAGGAGAGAGCTGGACTGAGTATGAGGCCTAATTTTCCACCACCTGCAGAGTAGAGGGGATTTATCCCTGGAGGCCTTAAGTCAAGAACTGCTTTAGACTTCTTAGCAGTCCCCTGAGCAAGACCCAACCTGCTAAAGCAACCCCTTTTCCAACCTGAGTGGGGCTACCTGGACCTAGCCCTGTAGGAAAGGGCCTTTTTCAGACATAGGTGGGGAGGGGGTGTTTTTCCTGTGGTACCAGCCTTTTCAGATTTGCACACAGACCCGTTTCCTTGCCTGTCTGTGGAATCTGGGTTTATTTACCTATTCATATCCAGTGGGCTGCCTTTCTCTGTGTTTTGCAGAAAGGATGTTCCAGATACCCTGGAAGCAATAGATACTTCCTATTAAGGAATTTACTCACAGGGCCAGGGCCAGGTGAACCAGCAAGACCCCCCAGAGAAAGAACCCACCCTCAAACTGCAGTTCTAGCATTTCTGTATGAAAGAACATTAAGGGTGGCCAATTGGCTGGAAGGGACACAAACAGTCGCTGGGTAGGGGACCACCCATGATAAAGCCCTGAATCTTCAACTGTCTGTCCATCACAAGCTTTGGTCACTGTCAAGGTCCCTAACTTGGTGTCATCCAGGACACCAGCTTGCTAGTGAGTGCAGGTGATCATGGTGAGAGGTGCTGGAAATGGCATGCAGGAAGGCCAGAGACCACACAGTACCCCCGTAAAAGGGAGGGGCTGCCTCACTCTGGGCTTTCAGGTAAGTCATTTTATCCAGTCTGAAGCAGAACACCTTTGTTAAAACCACTTAGAGGTGAAGCCAGCCCGTGTTCGAGACTTCTGAGTCTTGCTTGTTTATGTATTCACTTGACACAGGTATGTAAAGCCCCCACTATGTGCTGGGCACGGAGCCAGGCCTGGAGCAACGAGCTGAAAAGCCACAATCTTCATCAAGCTGCTCACGAGAGTGCGTGGCAACGATGCAGTCAGATCAGCCCTAGCTGCATGCCAGTGGGCTCGCCTCTCAATCTCTTTAAACTTAAAATGGGGATGTTAATACTAATGATTTTCTGATGTCACAGATTACGTAAGATCAGTTATATAAAGCATTTATTTTAATGGCACTTGGCCAAGAGTAAGTACTTAATAAACAGTAGCTGTCGTTACTAGCTACTAATATACCTGATTTACCAATGAATAAACTGAGCACTGGGTTACCCCTTGGTTTTCTGGTGATACTCTGTTACACATGTAATGAGGTTGAAAGGAGGGGGAAAAATAATGATCTAGAAACTGGATATATTAAAAAATCTCTAGAAAGTCATATCCTTTAAAGACGATGAGAGAGAACCAGGGCTTTTTGCTAAGAGCACTAGATTATTTTGAGTAGAGCTTAAAAATAAGCATCTGCTATTCATTATTAGTGAAAGTTGCGCTTTTGAGTTTCTTATTAAGGAACATCCCCTGAGCATGCGGTGATCTAAATATGGGCATGAATAAGTTGCATGCTTACCGAGTTCAGAGACGGCTTCTTTAGGAGAACACCCCAAATCAGACACCACAAGACGGAGTCGCCCAAAACTGTCAGAGCAAAAGCTTGACCAAATGCCAGTTTCCCTCTGTTCCTCATGCTTGCTGCTTTCCGTAGATGCAGTCTCAAACGCCAGATTGCCTTGTGGCATGTCATGCCACGCAAAAGTGCACTTCCACTATCAACTCCCCTAATTGAGGTCAGATGTAAGACGCCTTGGCGTTCGCCCTGGAGGAATTGCTTAATTGGAAACCCAGCAGGCAGCAGTGGGTACAGTGGGAGGAGGAGAGGGTTCCAAGCTGCCTGGGAGGGTTGGGTCTGAGGGACCCTTTACTCGCTGTGGGCCCTGGAGCCCACGACCATACCTCTCTCCTCTGAGCCTGTTTCGTCATCTGTAAATAAGAATAATCCCTCAGCTTTTGTTTTTTGGTGTGTGTGGTTTTTTTTTAATGTAAGATGAGGCAAGCATTTTATAAAATACTACACAAATGTTATGTCTTCTCCTTGTGGATGATGATGATGATGATGATGATGATGATGATGATGATGGTAAAAACATGGGCTGTTTCAGCCTGAGCTTTGCTGGGCCACCTAGGAGGATGCTTCTGTAATGCATTCTTGCTCCTGCCCGTGAATTCCTGCAGGATGGGCCACTCTGTCTTTCAAAAGGGGGGAGAGGGTATTTAAAATGCTAAAATGCATTTCACAGACCATTAATCTCTCAAGACTCCGTAAATAAAAGAATCTGTTTTCAAATGCATTGGGAGATTCTTGGAGATGTGGGGACGCTGGTGAGCACGAATGGCCCTGAGAGGTCTGTAGTAAAGAATCCTCATTTACATGTGTCTCTGCACTTCCCAAACTCATGGGCCACAGAACCCTTTTTTCATATAACATCTGCTAATGGGCCACTGAAATAGCATCCCCAGAAAACAGACTTGGTGAAATTCTGTCCTAGCTTAAGGACAGATGCATTTTGCTTTTGACCCGTAAGAAAATTAAGCCTAAGTTGAAAGCAACTTAATAAAAAGCGTTGTTGAGTTCTGGTAATAAAACTTCTGCTTTGTAAGTTCTTTGCTAACTAATCTGAGAGACCACTTTCTTTAAGAGATGTATAAATACTTTTTTTTTTTTAATATGGAACACTTCATGAGTTTGTCTGTCATCCTTGTGCAGGGGCCATGCTAATCTTCTCTGTATAAATTCTTTTTAATAACAAACATTTTTACAATGCTTGCTATATGCCAGGCACAGTTTTAAAGAGTTTAAATATAATTAACTGAATCCTCACACTAAACCAAGGAGGAGGACCAGGCAGAGAAAAGTAGGAAATTTGCCCAAAGTCCTATCTGAATCCCTGCTAGTGGCTTGATTCCATGATGCCCTCTTTTCTTCAAAGAGTAATTTAGGGGGGAAAAAAAGAGTAATTTAGAGTATTCCCTTCCCAATTAAAATGATGCAAATAGTAATTTACAATATATTGTTTTCTCAAAGTAATTCAAATACAAATTTGTATTTGTATGTATTCTTTTCACGATTTAAATAACTCAACTACTTTTTATTTCCAAACTTTCAAGGCACCTCTGGATAGAATTCAGATAAATCTTAGGGTATTACAAAAGCAAGTTGGTGAACCAGTACTCCTCTGAACGTGCACGGAGTTGCCTTCAATGGAAGTGAACGCCTGTTTTCCTCGTTGCCCAGATGCTCATACGATACTGCCACAGTGTGTGTCACACAACTTCCCTAGATCCTGTTTCTAAGTATTTCATAATTGAGCACTTTGTGTTCATAGATATTTATTACGAATAAATCTAAGTGACTTTAAATGATTAAAATGCAAAGTGCGGCAGGAGGTTCCAGGTGAACCCCAAATGGAAACTCACAGACTCTGAAAATAGTGAGCTGCTAACCGCCTAGGTTGTCTGAATTGATATACACTACTTTGGTTTTATTATTTATTATTATTATATTATTATTTATTATTATTTGGTTTTATTTCTTTTTATTTTTTTAATATTTAACTTATTTGTTCATTACAGACAGAGAGAGAAGCAGAGACACAGGCAGAGAGAGAATCAGGCTCCATGCAGGGAGCCCGATGTGGGACTCCATCCCAGGACCCCGGGGGTCACACCCTGAGCCAAAGGCAGACGCTCAACCTCCTGAGCCACCCAAGCATCCCTAGAGCTTTGGTTTTAGATTGAAAAGAATGCTGTTGCTTTTTGGTTTGTTTTGTTACGTTTCAATTTAGGAGCCCAGGGCAGATATGAGAAAGAAGAGAATTGAGGGGATAGATTTTGAGTCTCAGTAGAGCAAAGGATTAGGACCAGAAGCTGAGGAAGCCGTTTGCATGATTATTCTGGTGAAAAAAAATAATGGTGACCAAGCACCCCAGTAACAACACGATTCAGGGTTCGGACAGGGTCCTCTTTCTGCAACCCCTGGCCCACCTCTACATGCACACCTACCACCAAATGGCACTGTGAGGGTGCAGGGTAATGCACTAGGGGAGACTGGGGGCTTTGCAAAGCAGCGGTCTTAAGGACCTGGCAGTGGTGAACTCAGACCTGACCATCACTGAGGCACTGCCCAGGTAGGGCTGAGCATTGAGAAAGGGGTCAAAATCTGACAGACAGGCAGAAAGGGTTACACTGTAATCTGGAAATTCATGTGACTTTGTCTGTACTCAAAGCCTAAGGAGGCCAGGCAACATTCCAATTACAGGGGGGAGAATGAAGTGACGGATATTCAGATATCATCCCTCCTGTGTACTGAATTGTGTCCCCAACCCCCAGAATCATATATTGGAACGCTAACCTGCAATGTGATGGTATTGGGAGATGGGGCATTTAGGAAGTCATTAAGGTTTTTTTTGGTTGGTTGGTTGGTTGGTTGGTTGGTTGCTTGGTTTTGTTAGTGGAGGGCGGTTAGAGAGGGAGGGGGGAGGAGGGACAGAGAGACTCTTAAGCAGGCTCCATGCCCCTGCAGAGCCCAACAAGGGGCTTGATCTCACGATTCTGACATCATGACCTGAGCAGAAATCAAAAGTCAGACAGTTGGGGTGCCTGGGTGGCTGAGTCAGTTATGCATCTGCCTTTGGCTCAGGTGGTGATCACGAGGTCCTGGGGTCCAGCCCCACGTCGGGCTTCCTGCTTAGCAGAGAGTCTGCTTCTCCCTCTCCCTCTGGCCCTCTCCCTGCTTGTGCTCTCTCTCACTCTCTCTCTCTCTCAAATAAATAAATAAAGATCTTTAAAATATATGTAGGTTTAAATAAGGTCATAGAGTGGGGTCCTCATGATGCGATTAGTGCCCTTATAAGAAGAGACACCAGAGAGCTTGCTCTGTCTCTCTGCTATGTGAGGACACATTGAGAAGACAGCCTTCTGCCATCCAGGAACTGTGAAAAAATAAATTTGCATTGTTTAAGCCACCCAACCTATGGTATTTTGCTACGGCAGCCAAAACTAAGAAAATTCCTATTTCAAAACATATAGAATGTTAATATATCTCTGTAAGTAGGCATTTCTGTTATAGATGTGTTCTATTTCACAGCTTTTAGAATATATTTTTCCTTTTCAGTGATCTAAGGAGCTAAACAAAAGCTTTTTACAAATTTTTCCCACTTAAAAGGCTCCATTTTTACAGCATCAAAGATATTTTTCTATTTTTCAGTATCTTGTCTTTATAGAATGCCTTATTAATTGTAAGTTCATGAAATTGGACAAGTTGCCCCCCACCCCCCAAACAAATGGCAAAGACCTTAGTTAGTATCACCATTTAACAAGAGCTTGGGTTTTCAGCCTGGAATCTTCCTTCCTGTCCCTCTGCTTTTTGAGATACTCATCAAATGACAATGAAACTGTCTCTCTGCTGCAAGCTGTCACTGTAGGGAGCTGGCCCTACTGACCCTCTCGCTGGCACATGAGACAAATGAACCCGTCTTTTTTTTTTTTTTTTTAATTCATGAAAGACACACAGAGAGAGAGAGAGAGTGGCAGAGACATAGGCAAAGGGAGAAGCAGGCTCCATGCAGGGAGCCTGATGTGGGACTCGATCCCCGGGCTCCAGGATCATGCTCTGAGCCAAAGGCAGATGCTCAACCACTGAGCCACCCAGGTGTCCCAAATGAACCCATCTTTAAGCCCTCTACCTCATCTCCCTGTCATGCGAAATACCCAGAAGGGGTCTGGAAGTTTCCTTTGGCCAGTCTTGCAACAGTGGCCATCCCTCTGTGAACAACATTCCAGAGTGCAGCAGGCAGATGGCTTGAGCTCCTTGAGAGTACGCTCTGGAGGACACAACTTGCCTCCTCGGATTTTAATAAAATGTACAACTGAGTGAACTTTTCTTTTACCATCAGAAAACACTATAAAATATTTAACTATTTTGGCTGTTTGGGGTTTATGCTTGTTCCATTGTATTCAGTAATGACAATAATAGTATGTAGGATAAAATTAATCCATTTTTTCCACTTGGGAGAAAAAAATGATAGAAACAGAAAGATGAGTTGGCAGTATTTGTCCTAGGGTTTAACATATGCCATAATTTTTGAAAATCAGAATGTATTTAGCTCTTAAGGAGCTTGATTTGTCTTTGCTTCTGTGTGCTGTCACCCTTCACTACCTCCGTCCACATGCAATTATCATAATACATACTGAAGTCCTTAAAACTTTGCATCAAAAGTACACAACCTCCAGGGCACTTCGGTGGCTCAGTTGGTTAAGCGACCAACTCTTGATTTCAGCTCAGGTCACGATCTCAGGGTTGTTAAGACGAAGACCCAAGTCAGCCTCCATGCTGGGTGTGGAGTCTGCTTAAGATTCTCTCTCTCCCTCTGCCCCTTCCCCTTCTCCCTCCCTCTCTCTGGAAAAAAAAAAGTTTTCTACACAAGTCACCATATTATAAACTATAAATATTTTTCTTTCTTCAATTGGACGGTCTGGCCCACAGCACTAAACTATGGGAACACAGTACAAATCTTAGAGAAGATTGTGCAAGAGCACGTCATAGTGTCCTCTCCTTTAGTATTTTCTGTCGGAAACAAGATCGACAGGTAAGGAATTAAAAGTTTTTGTCCTCTGTGAAAGGCCATCCATATTGTTCTCTAGGAGGAATTCTCATATCGCTTCCTCATTTTTGTGTCTTCGTAAATCTGGTCTCTATGACTAACATGTTTAGGTGCAGGCCGGGAAGTAAGACTATGTGGATGGTGAATACAGAAAGAATTGTGAAGTAGACACTTCAATGCAATGGGTCAAGAGCACTTAGCTGCCTTTATTCCCTCTACCTATGCTTGTGGCATTTATGGAGTTAGGAGAGAAAGCAGGAGAGGGTGTGGTGTCTGTGCCTGAGGGGGGGGGGGGGAAGAGGGCCTCACGTGTTAGGAAACAGGGTGGCAGAGGGACAGTGCAGGGAAATGGGATTACCACTCCAGGAGGACAAAGAAAGTGAAACAGAGTAAGATAATCTAGATGGGTTCAGAAACAGAAGGGGGAATTTTGAATTCCTTCACACATAGTTGCGGTGATACAGAAAGAAAGAGAGTCTAGAGTTGGAGATTCCACTAGGACTGAAACTGGATTAAAGCTAGGGTTTCAGGGAGGGCAAGAAAGAGGATTCAAGAAAGGAATTCTGAAATAACACGGAGCAATACTTGGCATGCCAGTTGGTGGAGATGATAGAGCCCTGCCAGGAAGCAAATCCAGAACCAGTCCCAGGTTTCTTGCCCTAAAATGGTGATTCCCAACGTTTAGCATGAACTACAGATATCTGGAGGGCCTGGTGCTACTGCTGCTGCTGCTGATCCAAGGACCACACTTTGAGAACCACTAATTTAGAAGCCATTTGTCTTTGCTAGTAAAGAAAGTCGACTCCAACAGAGAACAGTGGCGGAGAGAAATTTGCTTGTTTTCGTCTATCCAAAGATCGCAATGGGATATACAGTATTCAGCAATGTGTCTCGGAAGTCAGCCGGGCTCTTTCAAATGATAAGAACTATATACTTTTCTAATTAATCAGGATATACATTAAACTCCCCAATGGAGCTATTTGGACTTGGGGATGGTTTTGTTGGCAGTGGTAAAGGTTTGATGTTTTCAGAAAGTCACTGCCTACTTGAGAAACTATGGTCTCTCAAAATAAATTTCCCATGGGAAGAGCCCCATAGAGAAGAAAGGGAGCTGTTGTTCCCCCCATGTCAACTGAAATATACAGGCATCTGAAACCCAAATA